TATACACTGTTGTCGTCACTTGTTGTTCTGCTGTACTCACAGAGTGACACACTATTTTTCACATCACACAGTGTTCACTATTTTTGCACCATTTTGAATTTTTGCACATTTATGTGGGGAAGGTATGATATATCTTTTTGTTATTTAAGGTAATACACTATGCAGTGTTTCCTTTTTTTCGAGGTATTTTCTGTCCTTTATGAGCCAGTGGAGGGGCTCAGCACCTAAGAATGTGACAAGCTGGATTTTGGACACTGATTTTGTTGAAGTGACTTTATTATTTTTGATATATTTTTGAGTGACTATACACGATTGTTTTTAAAAATAATTTTTTTATTTCATATCTTTGATCATTGGATTGTTTGTTGTGTTTTTGGGTTTGAGATTTGAGTTTAGAGCTTAGAACCTGGGTTTATAGTGTGGGGTTTATAGACATATTAGTCTTTGTGTACATGGAGCCTTTCAGTTTCATTGCATTAGAAAGCAGCTAGAGACTGAGTAGAAAAACATGTCCCCTAATAGCGTTTTTCCGTGAAGGACCCTTGGTCTCTGCTTGGAAGAAGTGATTTTTCTGCAGGTCTAATATGACCTCAGGTGGGACAAGGTTAGATCTCTCCAAGGAAGGTCTTGTTCACATAGGCCAATTAAATCTGTGCCCTGTGCAAGTACATGTTTTACCAGCACGGGCATGCACAGGTGTAGTGTACATCCCCATGCTGTGAGTCCCATTGCTGTCCATTAAAATGCAGTGGCTTGGTCATAGCTGGATAGCCATGGGACTGCTGGCATGGGGATGCACACAAAACCTGTGCATCCCTGGGCCAATAAACACAGCCCTGCATGGGACATGGATTACAATGCCCAGTGTGAATGAGGTCTAACAGAGAGCATGATCTGTGCTGATTGCAAAGCTGAATCAGCGGGGGCATGTTGAACCTTTGTAGAGAAACCTCTGTTTATCATTTTAAATGTTTTAGCATAGCATTGGGATCTATTGTCCAATATTCCCAAAGATTTTCTGGTTATATGTCTTTAATTTGACCCAATATACCTATAACTTGCTAAGTTGTATTTTAAAGAAGGGAATCCCTGTGTTTTTATTACGCTCAGTATGCTAGTCCTTCATAACATTTTAAGCAGCTGTCAATACAGTTAATATAGTCAATTTCCTATTAGCCATATTTGTGTGTCTGATGTTTGTTTTGAAAATAATTAAAGTAAAATAATTGAAGTATTTATGTTCAGTTTTGTAAACCCTATTGGCATTAAGTTTGCCTTTTCAAAAACTGTGTTAGAATAATCAAAATACTCTGTTTATTTATTTATTTATTTTAATGAATGGTAGTTAAGCATGTGTCATGTGTTTTAGTCCTGTAATAAAAAAAATGCACTTAAGTATCTTATTTACAAATCATGCTACAGTTAAATAAAAAAAAATTTGGCATTCATGCTGGTTTTCATTGGCTCTAAAGAGGGGATAGCCTCCACCTCCTCCACAAGCATGTTAATCTGCTAATCACTGGTTTGGCTGTCGTACTAGATGATTTAATTATCTCTTACTTAATTATGCTTAATTGAACAAAGAACTATTGTATTAATATCTCACTATTGTACACTGGATTATCATATTAACGTCAGTTACTCTGTCATTCGGCATTTGACCCAATTTGTCTTTCTTTTCACTGGTTTAGGGAAACGGTGGAGCAAACTCTTTTTCTGTTCAATTTTCTTTTTAACCTTTAAATTTATTATAACCTTTGCTTTGGCTACAGCATTCTGGCAGGGTTTGTTATATCGGGGAAATGATGGAAGCATTTAGTTCTACAATTTTTCAAAGAATGGTATAAAACAATACAGCTTACTATTACAGTTGCTGTTTAAATTTGTTATATTTTTTTAAATTCTCCTTTAAATACAGACAGTTACAAATTATTAACATTAATACAGGCCATGCAATTAATTTAGTTAAAATTTTAATTCAATCATTTCAATTTCAATCATTTAAATAAAAAATGTAGTATTTGTACATTTATGTAACAAATTTGTGAACAGCTGGTTTGGATATCATGTTTTTAAACCAATGTATCGAACAAATTAAATTTATTAAATTATTTAATAAATATACTGTATCCTTTCTGATTCAGCTGTATAGCAGTTCACACATTTACTGTGTGAAAGAGACCCACAGCTTTTAGTGTGAGTATATTGTTTTCAAAACTTCTTGCTGAGGTTTTGAGATTTTGTTAAATGTATCGCTTTCATCAAATAATCTTCTCATCTGTGTAATGTAGTAGAAGAAAGCATCATATACTGTATTAGCAGTTAAAGTGTTACTAAACCCAGGACCCTGCATTCACTAAATCTGGTGATATCTCTATATCTAGTGATATCTCTATATATCACTATATCAGGTGATATCTCTATATCCCACAGTACACAGAACATGGAAGTGCAATTATTTTAGTAAATATAAAACTGCTAAATAGCTTTTCTCATCAGCAGTTAGAGCAGTAACTTCAGCAGAGCACTGGTTAAAGCTTGAAGGAGAAGTTTTCTTTCTGCTCTAGGAGGATGCAAAACCCCTGACCTCTATCTGGACAGTGCTGATTGGCACTGTGCCTATCACATGCACTCTCCCAAGAAAAAAAAACCCTCACTAGCAGTACACACTAAACTGAGCATGTGCATGTGGCTACAGGTTCAGTCTGTCTTATCAGCGAGGACATTTGAACTAGAGGAGGGGCAGAGAAAACAGGATCAAACAGCGTTTTTACACAATGCAGAGGATTAACCCCTTAGGTTCCAAAGTGATCATAACAAGCATGCTTTACTACATATACAGACTGATTTTACTATTGTGGGTTTAGAAACATTTAAAGGATTAAATTAAACTCAGATTTGTGTAAAGAGCATACATTGTTGCACCTCTGTATTAATTAATACTTTTTTAATATATGATTTAAATGTAAGCAGAGTAAATACCTGACTTTGACTTGGTATCAGTCTCTTGCAGTTCCTGTACAGTAGAGCTCAGATTGGAGTAAAAAAAGCAGCATAAGAATCCGGTCATGCTACAGTACTAGGGACATGCTGATAGAAAGAGAGAGCAGAGTGATGAGCCCACCAGTCTTCTGCTTCTCTTTTCACTGTTTATTCACTGGGTTGTCCTGGGCCACCTGTAAGTGTTACTAACATTTACACTGACTGGCAGCGCTCCCCTACCAGATAGAGCAGGTGCTGTGTGGAGCTGTATAAATCTAAGGACTTGTGAACAGCAGCAGAAACCCTTTGGCATGTAAAACAGCTCCCTTTTATGTATTTCATTTGTGTATTTAGCTGTTTGCCTGGAGATCAGCCTTTAAATATTTTTTCTTTATCCTGTTTTGTTAATATGAACACTAATATGTGTTAATATTTTCTGCATTGCCTTTTTTTTTTGTGAGATTATAATATATGGCCATTACTGCTTCCATCATTCCCTGTGTACATTTGCTACTTATCAGCGCAGCCATTAATGATGTTATACATTATACAGTAATAACATTACACCAGATCAGAGAATGCGGATTGTGTATGCTACCAGAACAAGAAAACTACTCTGAAATTAAACGGTACTCATACTTGTTTCGGGTAAATTGATCCTACACAAAAATTTCAGAAAAAAAGAAGCACATTGGAAAAAAACAGCATTAAAAAATAATACAAAAGAAAGCAAAAAACAACAAGAAAAATCCTAAGCTTTATTAATTTCAATTAGTTGTTGAAGTCCCAACAATAAGTATGAATATCGGGTTGACAAGTAGTTTGAAAATGCACAATGAATATGGGGTGCATTGACAGAGATGAATGCAACTGCTTGAAAACTGGTCTTTTGCATTTTATTTTATGATAACACTTTAAATGTTTCTATGTGTTTTTAAATGTTGAAATGAAAAAGATGACATTTAGTACACAAACATTTTAGGATTGTTTGTTACTGTTTGAGAATGCATTTATGAGCCACTTTAAGACCAAAGGGCTACATTAGCTAGTCAGTTGTATCCCACAATATATATGCATATTTTTTTTCAAGATGCTGAACACATAAAATAAGCATTAAATAATATTGTAAGTAAATTCTAAGCCATATTGACATTGAAAGAAATGACATATTAAGATTATGGCTAGTAAAAATTATTAATATTATTAATTGATCGCAATAAGTAAAAACTTAAAAAAAAAGTAGGAGAGAAAAAAAATAACGTAGTCAATGCATAAGAAACGTTTTTTTTTGAAAATGTTAATGTTGTTTGTTTTGGTGATCATTTTCCAATAAAGGATCTAATGATGAGGGAAACAGTCTATGAGGTCCAATGCAGCAACTTAGAAGACCTATGTTGGAGTGAAAAGGCTGTGAAGCTCTTATTTTTAGCTGACAGCCCATTGTTCTCTCTGTTCTCTCTGGACTGATTGTTCTCTCTGGAGCGATGCTACAGGTCATTGTTGCATGTTACCATGTACACCTGTAGAAATGGGACTATCAATGTATGTGCTTATCAGTAAGTGATTTTAATAGCAGTAATAATTTTCTATCATATCTGCCATCTAAAATCTAGATGCGCTATCTCAAGAACCCTAGAAAAAAAAGCTTTACTTTTTTAGGTTCAGCAACTAAAAGTACTAAGCCTTGGTCCTGGCAGATCAAGGACTTTTCCTTTTTTTATATTATCATTATTATAGTTCTAATTCACCTCCTTTATTCTAAGCCTGAAGGTGTATTAAATCCTTACAATATTAAGACTAAAAGCCTAAGATTGCAATTTATAGCTTAATCACAAAATATAAAACAAAGGTCAGTCATGGCTTGTTCTAAAATAAACATATAATGGCATTTAGACTTTAACTAACAAACGGAATACCACTCATTAGCAAAAATATAGGAAATATTATTAAACGTTTATTCAGCATTCTTGAACTGGCAGTTTATTAATATTTTATTACGGGGGTGTTTTATTTTGCAGAAGCTAAACATGACCAGCTCATCTGAAGGCAGCACAGTGGATATTAGGCCCCCTGGGGCAGTTGTGGAAGGAGAAGGGGAGCTGGTGGATATTGAACCGGAGGAAGCTTTGGAGCCAGATGCCTGCTTCACAGAAGGTGAGTGGGAGAACATTGCTCATTAAAGCCTTCTTACTTGGCAGTTGGCCTACACAGCAAGATTATATAATGAGACGAACTTTTCAGTCTCCTAGTAAATTAAAAAAACACGCATGTTGTGCGAAGAAAAAAAAGCTATCGACTTGTAAATTTTGCAGGAAAGACCTTTGTAATTTTTAATTAACTGATGCCATATTTTTACTTTGCCCAATGCCAGTTTTAAAGCACACCTATGGTTCAGAAGTAAACATACTGCTGACCAGAAGGCAGAAAGGGGAGATGGATAATGCATTTGGTTCTTGTAGCAATTTTTATTAAAGTGGAACTACAGCCAAACGGTTTTATAGTTGTTTCAGCTGCAAACACATTTGTAATTTGTTTTATGTTAATATCACAAGCTACCTAAAGAAGGCTTGAACAGTGGAATCTATGCCCAAGTGTTGCCTATATGCTTCCTGTGCCTAATCTATTCTATATTAATGTCTTTGACCTTGATCTGCACTGTGTTTCTCTGTCAAGGTGGCCATTTTGGTACGGTAGCAGGGCTAATGCCAGAACTTCCCTGTTGATGACTGTTGATCAGAGGACTAATGGGGGGAATATTCAAGAATCAGCAGGAAAGGTTCAGATAGAACAGATCCACAGAATAGATGAAGCATAACCAGTTAGATTTTTGCACTACAGGTCCTTCAGATATCCTCCAGGAACCAGCATAGTAGTGACTTCTCCAAGTCTTATTCAAATTTAGTGAGACTAGCCATCAGTAGCATTAGATTAAACAAACATAACTGCAAGGGAAAATTTATTTTAAATTCCTAAAATTGGGCTTTAAGGCACACTTGTGCCTAGGCACAGGAAGTGCACAACTATTTTTCAGGATGTGGGATAAATAGTTACAATTTTCAGGGTTCTTCAGGGCACAGTTCATATTTCTAGATGTTCCCTATTGGACAGAAAATCTTTACACTTAAAGCTTAGTTCCACTTTAACAATTCACACATCCCCAGCATATTGCATAGACTGAACGGTAACACAGTTTACTGTTGCAGCATTGCGACTTTCACTGTTGATTGTCTGCTTGCTGGATAGTAAGTGAACACTCAGCCTCTTCCTGCTGGGACAGCTGTGGCTCGGCTGTGCTAGTAAATTTTTTGTTTGTGCACCCCCGTGGAAGCCTTCTGGACAGATAAGTCTTGACTTCTGCCCAAGGTAAGCCCCAAAATTTGTGTGTCTCTCAGTATACATAGGATTGGCACAGAGTAGTAAGTTGATAGTTACATGATTAATATTTAGAAAAATACTTACATATTATTATGTCACATAAATCTTCAAACATGAAAATATTACTAAAGCCCTCAGATGTAAATTACCCCTTTTTTTGGATAAATGGGTCAGTAATGCTCTACAAAAACAGGACTACTGTCTCTTTGAGTGGACAATATACCATAAGGGAGGCTCACCAGGTAAAATTGACTCCCTTTGTACTTTGTATGAAAGTGAGCCCCACAGAGCATCTTGAATCCTCTCTGGTTTTGCATCTCCCAAGATAGGAACAGGAACCTTCAAGCTTGATTCTCCTCTCTCACTCCAAAGCCAACACTGATTAAAATGAAAACACTTGTATAGTGTAATCCATTAAATTGAAGTGCTTTATTATATAAAATACTACTCAATATTAATTCAGATAATGTCCCTTTAAAACCACTGTATAATTTGACACTTACAGGTGCGCCTATATGATGATGTTACTGCCGATCAATGCATCACATTATGTGCACCCGTGGAAGCCCCCTCTGGCCCAAAGCCAAGTCCCACCCTCACATTCACAATTTAATGGCAGATTATCTGTTGGCCACCAAGATTCTGGCACTGTATTGTTGAACAGAAAGAGCAAGGCTACCTTTCCTGGAAGCAGCGCTTAGCGTCATGTCTGAACCAAAAATATGGCCCAAGTGCACAGTGTGTCCAGGCTTGAGAGCATTCTGGTTATACTGAAAAGAGTCTGTGAACCTGAAAAGTTTTTGCAGGTATGTTTTAGTGCCTGATCTTCAAAAATGTTATTTTTATAACAGTCAGTACATGTAACCAGCTAATACTTGTAGTGCCACTCCAAACAAAGAAGGAGAGTGTATATACAGTCATGGCCGAAATTGTTGGCACCCTTGATATTTTTCCTGAAAATCAAGTATTTCACACAAAAAAAGGTATTGCATTAACACATGTTTTGCTATACACATGTTTATTCCCTTTGTATGTATTGGAACAAATATATAAAACAGAGGCAGAAAAGCAAATATGACATAATGTCACACAAAACCCCAAAAATGGGCTGGACAAAAGTATTGGCACCCTTAACTTAATATTTGGTTGCACACCCTTTGGAAAACATAACTGAAATCAGTCGCTTCCTATAACCATCAATAAGCTTCTGACACCTCTCACCCGGAATTTTGGACCACTCTTCCTTTGCAAACAGCTCCAGGTCTCTCTTATTGGAAGGACACCTTTTCCCAACAGCAATTTTAAGATCTCTCCACAGGTGTTCAATGGGATTTAGATCTGGGCTCATTGCTGGCCACTTCAGAACTCTCCAGCGCTTCTTTGCCATCCATTTCTGAGTGCTTTTTGACGTATGTTTGGGGTCATTGTCCTGCTGGAAGACCAGGATCTTGGACGCAAACCCAGCTTTCTGACACTGGGCCCTACAGTGCGACCCAAAATCCTTTGGTAATCCTCAGATTTCATGATGCCTTGCACACAGTCAAGGCACCCAGTGCCAGAGGCAGCAAAACAACCCCAAAACATCATTGAACCTCCACCATATTTTTACCGTAGGTACTGTGTTTTGTTCTTTGTAGGCCTCATTCCGTTTTTCGGTAAACAGTAGAATGATGTGCTTTACCGAAAAGCTCTATCTTGGTCTCATCTGTCCACAAGACGTTTTCCAGAAGGCTTTTGGCTTACTCAAGTACATTTTGGCAAACTGTAGTCTTGCTTTTTTATGTCTCCTGTGTCAGCAGTGGGGTCCTCCTGGGTCTCCTGCCATAGCGTTTCATTTCATTTAAATGTCGACGGATAGTTCGCGCTGACACTGATGCTCCCTGAGCCTGCAGGACAGCTTGAATGTCTTTGGAACATGTTTGGGGCTGCTTATCCACCATCCGGACTATTCTGCGTTGCAATCTTTCATCAATTTTCCTCATCCGTCCACGACCAGGGAGATTAGCTACAGTGCCATGGGTTGCAAACTTCTTGATAATGTTGCGCACTGTGGACAAAGGCAAATCTAGTTCTCTGGAGATGGACTTGTAACCTTGAGATTGTTGATATTTTGCCACAATTTTGGTTCTCAGGTCCTCAGACAGTTCTCGTCTCCTCTTTCTGTTGTCCATGCTTAGTGTGGCACAGACAGACACACAATGCAAAGGTTAAGTGAACGTCTCTCCTTTTTATCTGCTTTCAGGTGTGATTTCTATATTGCCCACAACCTGTTACTTGCCCCAGGTGAGTTTACAGGAGCATCACATGCTTGTAACATTCTTATTTATCCGCAGTTGTGAAAGGGTGCCAATACTTTTGTCCAGCCCATTTTTGGAGGTTTGTGTGACATTATGTCGAATTTGCTTTCTTTCCTCCCTTTTTTTTGTTTTGTCCCAATACACACAAAGGGAATAAACATGTGTATAGCAAAACATGTGTTAATGCAATACGTTTCGTGAGAAATACATGATTTCCTGGAGAAATATCAAGGGTGCCAAACAATTTCGGCCATGACTGTAGTACCATCAGATGTCAGAGGGCCTGGGTTGTGGAGTGGTGCAAGCCTCAGGCCATTTCACACATGTTAACCACATAGACTGGATTGGGTTGAGCGGCGATTTTTCAGTCAGTACATGAAACTTCAAATTTTATAAACTGAATCAACTACAGTGCATACGTTTCCTGCCTTCTTATACAACGTATCAGTTGTTAAAAAATCACAAATACACATTAGGAATGACTGTTTGCAATGATACATAATGTAGGGCTTCACCTAACATGTTGCCTCTGGCCCTTCTTCAGGTAGGGATAAACAAATGTCCAAAAACTGTTTCAATATGAGCCTTAAATGCAAAGACTATACAAATAAAGTTATTTATATAGGCTGAACATCTAGTCAACATGCTAAAAATATTTTTTTATTTAATCTCCTATTCTAGGATGTGTAAAAAGGTTCCCAATTTTGCAGTGTGAACATTGAAGAAAATAATGGCAAGATATGGTGGACATTCAGGAAAACCTGTTACACAATTGTTGAACACAACTGGTTTGAAACCTTCATTATCTTCATGATTCTTCTTAGTAGTGGAGCACTGGTAAGTGAATCCTTTGACATTCAGTGTTTAGTCATTACTATTACTATTATTTCACTCCCTAAAACAGCTATTATCATTTAATGAAGAAGGGCAGCACAGAGTCTGAGTGGTCAGCACGTCTTACACCATACATGCCCACCCCAGAAACTCAGTTTGAAATCTCTGGACATGCTTATGGGCAATGCACACGGGCTGTGTATCCCAGTTCACTGGTGAACGACTCAAGCACCCACACTGAAAGAATGCTTCTTGAGACTGACTAGAGTGGCTGAAATGGAAGTGCTTTTCCATTCAGCCCTGGGCCCTGATCCCCATTCCTGTTACACCTTCCTCACTTTCTATATTCCCCCCAACTTTCTTTTATCATTTTCCTCTATTCCACTATCTATCTTTATCTTTCCCTCCACTTCTCTCCATGGGTTCAAACATGACCTCTAGTTTTCTGGTCTTTGGACCATCCATGTTCTTTTTATTCATTGGCACTGTAATACCACAATGAGGGTACTGAGGGTCACATCTCCTTTACCCCCACTTGGAACTGCAAAGTGTGGCTTCTATGGCTGATTGTCTAAACTGCCCTGTAACTTACACTACAAGCTATTATCCTCATGTGGGATGTGCTGTTTCTTGTACTATTGCTGATACATCTATCATGTATAATTTATTTTTGAAGTTGGAATGACCATAGAACAAACTGTATTTGAAAGAAAAACACCTAGACAGTGATTAGATCACTTTGTGGGTGCTGACTTCTGTTTCATGCCTGTGAGAGCCTTAAAGTGTTTGTATACCCAAAACTTTTTTTAGGGAAAGATTGAAACACATCTGGTTTGACTGCTAATCAGTATTCCCCCTTACTTTCTGTCCTTGGAACAACCTTTTACCTGATAGAAAGTGGGAGAAAACCTGCACCAGAGAAGCACAACAGTAAAAAACCAATAGGGGTTCAAGCATTCCTCTGCCTAAATGAAAAAAAAATTACTTCTATCTATGTTGTTATTATATAGATATCTCCTTACTTCCAGGCCTTCCCAACTGAATCCAAAACGTTCAAAAAAAGTATTGGCTATAGATATAAGAGGCTTCAGATAATAGATGATATCTTAAAGGATAAGTTCACCTTTTTACAAAAAATAACAAATGCACTTTTTTTTGCAGGTAAAAAAATGTGCATTTATTATTTTTTGTTGCAGGAGCCTGTAAAGCATTGCACCAGCAATCAGCAGATCACTGGTGCCATGCAGGTCTCCTGCAGATATGTCAGTATATCTGCTTGCCCGTACGAGTTGTACGGGCAAGCAGATATACTGACAGGAAGAATCAATATACAAATCAATCAACTACCATGTCGCTCCACAGCTTGGACTTGTAGTTCATTCACAGAACACCGTGAATGAATGATGCAGCCATTTGGACAGAGTTGGGGAGGAGCGGGGACCAGCCCATTCATAACATGTTACATGTTATACCCTGAATATGGGTGTAACATGTAACATGTTACGAAAGGTGAACTTATGCTTTAAAGTGGAATTAAAGTTTTTTAAAAACCACTGACAGGCAGGGTTTTTAAAACAAAAGAGACCCTAGTAGTCTCTTGTGGTCTCTTCTGTTATAAATACCTACTCTGGCCTGTCAAATGTAATTTAATCTTAGCTGCACAGCTCAGACCACATTTGCAGCACTTGCTCTGTGCAATGGTAAAACGCACACATGCATGGGAGTGATGTTATTGTGGCCTGGCCATTCAAGCAGCTGGAGAGCCCAAATCTGGAAGAAAGACCAAGCAAACCTGGAAGCGCCCAGGACTTGTTGGAGTGGTACCAGCTCAGTACTGGAGGACTCCATTTGGCAAGTCCATCATACTGTGCTAATAAGCAGTGCACATTATGGCATAAACCTCCTGGGGGTCATAAAAGAAGAACATGACAGAGTTTTTTACCATCTTAAACTCTTTTTACATTTTCTGAGCACCTGTTGAGACTGTGACCATTGTTATGGCACCTGTCAGAGTTACGCTGATAGACATGCCAGAAACACCATCATATTACTGATAGTTCACATTGTCATTACACTGTGTGAATTCATTCCACTTCCTACTGCAGGCCCTAATTTTTAGTTTATATCACAACATTCAGACAGTATCTGCACTAGAGGGATTAAATAAAGCTGGTGTTTGCATGCTTATGCCAGCAATGACTTGCCTCACGTGGATTCTCATTTCATCTGGAGGTGAGCAAATACACGAACAGGTCAAATGTCTAAATTGTTTAGAAAATTGGCAAATAATATGTATTGCCTACATTTATAAAGAGCTAACCTATTTCACAGTGAGTTACTAAGTACAGAGAAGTGTGTACATTGATCACAGTTGTTGAAGGAACTTAAAATCTAAAACCACAATTTATACAATTACACTCTAGGGTCATTTTGGTCAGACACCATTTAAAACTGGTCAAAGCATATATCACCAGCAGATCGTGGATCTTCAAAATAATATTCAGAAAGCTCTTAACATGATCACATCACAGCATTAAATCTCCACCATTTATGCTTCAGGCACACAGGATGGCTTTGCTCCAGAATGGAAAACGCAACTTTAAAACGCACCTCAAACTGTGTTTCGCATATACATTTATGAGCGATTATGCTCGTTTATGTGTGTTTGGCATTGATGCAGTCTGCTGGCCAGAATATTAATTTATTATGACCATGAGAATGCATTAATGTGCCTAAACACATCCAACACTAATGAGCTTTAATGCGTGTTTGTACGTGATGTTTTTTTTTTTCTGCCTCTACACACTGCTGCTTCTCAAGGCCTGTAAATGCATATGTAAGCATGGACACATATGGAAGAGTGTTTAGAGGCAAAAAAAGGTCAAATGCTTGCAAAAGCTGTACAAGCTCTGCCTGCTCTGCCAGGCCCTAAGGAAAAAATTGCAGGTAAAAAAAGGCATAAAATAAAAAACTAAAAAAATTCCAGCGATTGTTTGTGTTATTCTCCTGAGATTGTATACGTAAAAAGGAACTTCGGTCTCTTTAATCTTGACTGTGCCCCCTCCACTGGTGGCAAACAAAGCCAATAAAGCAAAAAACTAAAACCATTGTTTGTAATGCGACTTATTTGGAGCATGTGTTATTGTCCTGATATTGATTACTTCTAGAGATACTTCAGTCTCCAGTGCTGGACCCCCCCTACCCATCCACTGGTGGCACCATTATTAATTTGTCTGGTATGTGTGCAGATGTACCAAAGGTCTCTTTCTGGCCTTCAGGTTCTACACCAAGGTCTGCCTGCATGTGAAGACAAGACAGAGGTCCCCAACCTCCTTCACTGTGCCTTCCTCATGTGGGTGCAGGGAAACCTATACATGCTCAGATGTGCCAAAAGTCTCTCTTAGGTCCCAAGGGCCAGGCAGAGCCCTTCAGCACATCTGCAAACGCACAAACAACGTCATTCTCACCAAGGTCAGAAAGGAGGAAGTGCTGCGCTGCAGCACAAGCAAAACATTAAAAAAATATCCAATTATGGGAGAAGTGTGGCTGGTGCTAGGTGCACACACATTATCTTTTGGGGTGAAGTTCGGCTTTAACTTTGTGACTGATGTTGTGTTTGCTTTCATTGCCTCTCATACTGTATGTTCCAATGGAGGAGATTGATTGCATGCAACTTTAGTTGTGTGATCACACAGAATAAAAACTGACCATGTGCTGCCACTCTATGGAACTGTGCCTTAGTTGGTTTGTATGAAAAATCAGAGAGAACAGGGAACCCCAAAAAGAAGTAGTATGGGACTTTACGGGCAACTACAAAAGATACTGAGGTAAAAGTACAAAAACAACTTTATTGAGCATGAAACAATAAGAAATTATTATATATTTATTCCCATAGATAAAACATAAATATGGATGGCTATGTTTCAAAAAAGGCAAAAACCATTAACTTGTATGTGTAGAACATCCTCATTTGTTCCACTAAGACTTCGTAGTTGAAGCAGCCAATGCATTTCCTTCATCAGGGGTGAACAGTGGAAGAAGATGATATAGATGAGTTCTACAATATAATGTCACATGCCTGATGAAGGGGTCCTGTGAGACTCTGAAACGTTGCCTTGCTGTAGCTATGTGATCATTCATTAAAACTTTTGGACCCATATTGGTGATCCTCGGTATATTGGTGACATTCTCCCTTACTGATTCTGTTGCTTTCCAGCTGACGATCGCTGCAGCACCCACTTATACACACAGCCATTTTTAATGCAGGGACTTGTGCGTTTGAATTGTACACCTACAATATAATAGGACCAAATGAGAACCTTTTTATGGTAACAGAATTTGAAAACATTACATATATAGTAGCATACCATCCTAAATGCATACGCTGAAATTATACATAGCCATAAAATAATAAAACCAGTTTGCCAATATTTGCCAGAACCCACACAGATGACTGAATGTTGGAACCCCACCGGTCCAGATGATCCCAGCACTGGGGTTGCCGTAACGCAGCCCCAGCCAAGCTAAGAAATGAAAAACAAATAACAATGACAAAAAAGTATAACATTTTATGAAGAGAGAAAAAAAAAAGGGTATATATATATACAGTATATATATATATATTGATAAATATCTGCATCAGATATCAAAAAGCCAATTCAAAAGAAGGCTTGTGGGCACTAAATCCATCCTATGAAATAAAATGAGGACGGTATATATATATATTGTTGGTAATTGCACCCAGGAGGCTTATAATTCATAAAAAAAGACAACCAATATAGGTCTATCCAAGGTGATCAAATAATCTGAAAGAGTATCTTACACAGCAAACAAAAAATGGAACCATAGATTGTTATACATGGAAACAATAGAGAGGGGGGGAAGGTTTTGTTTTTCAAAATATACAAACAAGGAAAATTGCCTGGTGCCCCAAACAGCATAAAACACGATCCCCATCCCTATTACAATTAGCCCTCAGGGCAAAGAGATATAGAGATATGTAA